TATATCCATTAATTACTTTACTAACTAAATTTCTTTATAAAGTAAGAAATATATTTTATTTAATAAACTTATTAATTACCGTTAATATATTATTATATTTAACGTTAATTACTATATTTTTAAATTTTAATAATTTAATAATAAAGTTTATTATAATTAAACTTTATAATTATTTTATTATTAATAATAATTTTAAAAATTTATAAAGTTTATATTTCGTAACCCTTATTTTTTCGTACGTATAGTATAATTAAATAGCTTCCTTAATATTATTTTTAATCTTTAATTAATTAAAATATTATTTAATTTTTTTTATAGTTTTTATAATATTTATATATTTTCCGAGCTTCGATCCGTAAATATTTATTATTAATATCGTTCTATTATTTAGTTTTATATATATTCGATTTTTATATTATAATTTTCCTTAATTATATTTTTAAATACTTTATAGCTTTAGTTTTTTTTATTAATATTATTTTATAATATTATTACTTAATTTCCTTTAATATTTATTAAAAATAACTTTCTCGTAATATATTATATAATATTTTATTTACGGCTATAGTAAATACTTAAAAGTACCGTTTAGCGCCTCCTTAAATAATAATAATAATTCCTTAGGTATATCCTTATAGTAGTTGGTACGCTTATTAAGTACATTTATTTTAATATTTTTTAAACCTTTTTTATAATTAATTTAAAAGTTAAATTCCGAAAAAAACTTTAATTATTATATTTATTATGCGTTAAGGACCTTCGTAGTAGTAAAATATTATAGGTTTTTATAATCCGTATAAACCTATATTTTATAATTAATATTATTAAAATAAAGTTTTTATTCCTTAAACGTTTCGATAATAACGAATAGCTTTTTATTATAAATTAAATAATTTTAATATACCTCTTTTAGCTTTTTTAAAAAGAAAGTTATTAAATATAATTTTTTATTATTATTTCGCTATTTTAATTATTTACTAATTATATAGTTTAATATATTCGCTTCGACCTCGAACGGTCGACTAGGATTTAATAATTTAAATACCGGGTCCTTTAAAATAATCTCTTTTAGTTCTAAAAAGCTTACTCTTCCAGCACACGGCGGCCCT